AGGGAGGGCTCTTCTTCTTATTCCAGGCCCGATGGTGCTGGGCCTAGCATCCTCTCCCCCAGATGACACTGGATGGAGATAGAGGAATGCTCGCCGTGGAACCATAGGAAAAAGCAGGGAAAGGCTCCCAAATGCACATTTGCTTTTCACATTACGGTAAATGAGAAATTACTGTAATTTCACAAATGCATTTCCTCAAAACTACTGCATTTCAAAAGATCTCAGATAATACCAGTTTCTGTCCAGTTTTTGTGCGACGTCGTGTGAAATCGTGAGGCACAAATCCAGTTTCTGTTTGGGATTTGTGTGGATTAACCAGCAGATTTCCCCCGTGTGATAACGTCCTAAGAGAGCAAGTGATCTCAGTGGTAATAGGAACACAGATTTTCTATGGCACAGGTAAACCCAAAATCCTGCTCAAGCATGAAGTTGAACCCTGATCTCCAGAGTCATAGTCCAACACTCAAACTACTCAAACTACTTGATCATTTACACTTCCCATAGTACAAAAAGAAATAAAGGTAAAGGTATTCCCTGTTGACTAGGTTGCCAAGTCATGTCTGACCATAGGAGTGGTGCTCATCTCTGTTACTAAGCCAAAGAGCCAGCGTTATCAGAGACAACTCTGTGATCGTGTGTTCAGCATGACTGCACAGAACACTGTTTACCTTCCTATTAAGAAGTGGTATCTATTTATCTACTTGCTTTTGCATGTTTTTGAACTGCTAGGTTGGCAGAAGCTGGGACTAGTGACTGGAGGTCACCCCATCATGTGGCACCTGGGCCTCAAACTGCCAACCTGTTCATCTTGCAATCAATTTCTTCCTCACAAGAAGAAATACAAAGGCACAATTGTATACAGCCTGGTTTTTTTTTTAATGTCAGTTTCCCCTCTCACTAAATTAGAAATTCAGATCTTACCAAATTGAAAAGTGGTGAAAAGTTGGGCAGAATTTGGATTCCATTTACCTTTAACCTTCAATGGGAAAATTCAACTGCAAGCCCTTTCACACAAACCAATTATAGCACTGATTCCACTTTAATTGCCATGGCAACGTCCTATGAAACTCTGGGATTGGCAGGTTAGGGAGGGGTCTTTGGAAACCTCACCCAGGATGTTCCTCTGGTTTGTTGTTGTGTGCCTTCAAGTCATTTCAGACTTATGGTGATCCTAAGGCAAACTTATCATGGGGATTTCTTGGCAAGATTTCTTCAGAGGTTTGCCATTGTCTTCCCCTGAGGCTGAGAGCATGTGAATTGCCCAAGGTCACCCAGTGGGTTTCATAGCCGAGCTGGGAATCAAACCCAGGTCTCCAGAGCTGTAGTCCAACACTCAAACCACTACGCCTCATTGGCTCTCTCCAACCAAACTACAAAGCCCAGAAGGGTTCCATAGGAGGCAGCCCTGGCAATTGAAGTGGAATCATACAGCTATAATTACATAGTGCGGTAAGGGTTGTTTCTTTAATTTGAGGGTTTCCAGAGAGTGTAATCCAAACATTTTTGATTGTTGGGTTTTAAGTATAAAAAAGCTTGATTTAAAAACAACAACAATCCTTTTGAATTATAGCTATTACCTCTACAGTAGAGAAATTCCCTTTACACACACTCCCATTTGACCCAAGTTATTGTTGCAATGATGAAGTGTTCCTAGACAGAAAGATCATAAGGCCCTGAGTAATGAAACAAAGCTGCTAATAGTAACAGAAAGATGTTCTTGTTCTCCTCAGTTAATGAGTTGAGATTTATTACAAGGTTGCCCTGAAGCTAAAGAGTAGAACTTCAGAAACAACTGGATACAACAATTATTAGTGTCTACAATGTTCCTCATTAAACCTGATGATTTATAAATTACTCAGTGGTGAGTAATAACTTGGGGTTGAGGCTCACAATCCTCTTTTAAGAAGAAGTATTTTGCCTAAACTTAACCGGGAATTTTTATGGCACTTTACAACTATAAACCCTTTGAGGCCGCTTTTCCTCGGCTCAGATTTCCAAAGAAAACCAGCTGAAAGAGTCACAGTGTGGGCCTGACACCATCCCACAAATACCAGTCACCTCTTTTTCCTGTTCTCTGTATAAACTGTTGTGTACACAAACAGTGCACCACTGACGTGTCCTTGATATATTCTGCTCTCTGCCTCACAAAGGGACCTGTGTGTTAAGCTTGGTGAGGGAGACTAATCTGAGAAACTGCTAGACTTTAGATTTTTTTTTAATGGAGGGCACAGGCATGCATTCATGTTTCTTTGTCCCAGTACCCTTCAGTGCAAACTTGAAATCTGGTTTGCACCTTGATGGCATTAATCCAGTTAACAGAGCAATTCTAACTCAAAGATGTGCCATCTGTAGAGGGCTAGGATTCAACACAAGCATCTTTTACTGGCAGAAATGCTTTTCCTGCTGGCTGATCAGAGCAACCTACCTGCATAACTGCTTTGCTAGCTAAGAT